CTCCAGTTCCTGCCGATGCATGGTCATGTCTGGTCTGAGCAGCTTCTGGGGTGCCCACACACAGATGGTGAAACTGGGGCCCAGAGGCTCTCCCTGTGATGAACAAATGTACCTGCTGAACCACAGGTGGACCCACTGCCATATGCAGCCTTTCACCGAGCCCCACATTCTGCTCTCTTCCCTGCCTGGATCCCATTCTCACCTCTGTACACAAGGCCCTTCTTCAGCTTGAATATGGGGTTTTCAGCTGTAGCCAGCACCTGTGAGTAGAGCTCACAGCGGGAGCTCTACTGACTGAAGGAAGTTAGGGTAGGCACCAGTTTTGTCAGGAAGATGATGAGATCAGGGAGGGGTGACTGCTGGAGCCCCGCAGTTTGGTAAGACTGTCATGGTTTGTGTCCTGATGCTGTGTGTCTTGTCCACAGTGAGGACAGGAAAGATGGCAACTCACTAACTGGGCCCTAACCAGCAGGGTGTCTGTGGTTCTCCATTCCTTATCCTCTCCCTCTACATGGCCGCTGAAGCTAGGAGTCCCCCTTGGTTCTGCCTCACAGGTTTGACTACCTCTGATGTGCCTCTCCCCTGGCCTGGGGCTTACCCAGGAATGGCAGAGGTGATTGGAGCATGGAGGCCACCACCAGGCAAGGCTCCTACACTCAGCCAGGCCCCCACCTGTTGTTGGCTGTTTTTTACTCTGAACTCTTTTGGGGGCCTGCCACCCAGCTCCCAAATAAATCACATACACACAGAGACTTATTCTTATGAATGCTCAGCCTTAGCTTGGCTTGTTTCTAGCCAGCTTTCCTTAAATTATCCCATCTACCTTTTGCCTCTGGGCTCTTTCCTTTACTTCTGTAATATTACTTTCACTTTTACTCATTGGCTGGGTGGGTGGCTGGCCCCTGGAGTCATCATCCTCCTAGATCTCTTTTTTCTCCTATCTATTCTCTCTGCCTGCCAGCCCAGCCTATCCTTTCTCCTACCTTGCTATTGGCCATTCAACTCTTTATTAGACCAATCAGGTGTTTTAGAAAGGCAAGGTAACACAGCTTCACAGAGTTAAAAGCAATGTAAAAGAATGCAACACATCTTTGCATCATTACACAAATGTTCCACAGCATAAACAAATGTATCACAGCTTAAAATAATGTTCCACAACACCTGCCCTGGGACTGCTCACCCATCCTTCACCCAGACTCCAAACATTTTCCGAGAGCACAAGAGCAATTGTGCTCCTTCCCTGCTTGTGACCAACAGTGGCTTCTCAGAGCCAGCCAGCAGGCCCCCAGGCTCGTGGGCCTGTCCCAAGGCTCTGAGGCTACCCTCTGAGGTCTGCAGGACCCCTCCTGGCCACCTGTGCTCCTGTGGGACTTACATTTCTATAGATTCTGTCTGAAAGGCAGAAGTCCCCTCCCCTGCCCCTTCCATGGCTCTGCCTCAGAGTTATGCTATGTCTCCTGGCTGACTTCCGGTTTACACAGCGAAGACAGAGCTAAGCAGGACAGGTCGGGCTAGGAGCAAATGGCTACTTCTCCCTGTTAGTTCATCTGTCTGCTCCCTGAGATGGCACAGCACTCAACACCATAGAGTGTGTAGCAGACATCAGGAGTGTAAGGAAGGAAAGGAGAACGCCTGTCTCTTTCCAGGTTCTCCTGATGCCCTCAGCAAGGCCTAGGTGACACAGCCGGCAGAACTAAGCCACAGGTGAGAAGGAAGGGAGGGGCCTGCTGACCCAGCAGCACTTTTTCCTTCTGAGGCTTAGGAGCTATTAGCACTGGTGGCTAAATCCCTAATCCTCCATTCAGTGCCCTGAGACTTCCCAGCTGCCCCTACGTCTGAGCAGCCAACATGGCTGTAGCTAGCCTCAGAGATAGCTTCCCAGAGCCCTGGCAACCAAGCACCTCACAGTTCTTCGCAGCCCAACCCCTGTAACGCACACTCTTTTGTAGCACTGATCTTTTCAATACCCCTCACCTGAGAGGGCGAGAACCCAGGCTGCAGGTGGGGCCAGACTGCCTACTTCACCTCTACTGAGGGTTCCTAGCCTACAGGGATGGTGTCTTAGACACTGCTGTGGGCCAAGAGCTGAATGCACAGAAGCAGGCGCAGCTGACCTGCATTCCAGATATACTAATAAGTTTGGTTCAGTAGCACAGCAAGACTGTCTAGGTCAGTGGTTCTCAACTTTCCAAATCCTGTGACCCTTTAATACAGTTCCTCATGCTGTGGTGACTCTCAACCATAAAGTTATTTTGTTGCTACTTCACAAATGTAATTTTGCTACTGTTATGAATTGGAATGTAAATATCTGACATGTGACCCCCCCAAAGAGTTCGTGAACCACAGGTTGGGAATCACTGGTCTAGGCGGTGTCAATGCAGACAGTAGACAAGGCGCACAGTGGGGCCGGGCCCTGGTGTGGAGCGTGGTGGTGTTGGCTCTCCTTGGAGACCTGAGGGAGGAGCAGAAGGATCGAGGTGACAAGTTCCATCAGCCTGCAGAGGCAGGTGATCAGGAAGGGTGCCACTGTGCTGGTTCAGGGCCCGAGTGGTCATTAAGTGGGTGCAAAGGAGCCAGGGCACATCAGTTGTGCTGGTGCGGACAGCAGGCCAGCCTCAGTCTGGATATGGTTGTTGTGCCCCAGGTTTCCCAGACCCAGCAAACAGAGGCCCAAAAGGGGGATGTGGGATTTTCCAGGGTATCCTGCTGACTCAGAGACACAGGGCAGAATCTGGTCCTCCTCTTGGGTGCCCATTGCTCCGTCTGAGTCTGTGTGACTCAGTGCAGGCGCTTTCCTCTAGTGACTGTTGCTTTGATGAGGCAGAGAGGCACAGCCTCCCCTACGAACTATGTTTTCATGTGGGAAGGAGAATGGCAATGGAAACCCACAGAATTCTGTAGACTGTGTGGTTGTAGCTCTGGCCGTGGCTGGCCAATCATGTGACTTCAGTGACCCACTGTGGACTCCAGGCCTCAGTCTCTGCAAGTGAAGATGCATAGCCAATCAGAGCTAAGGACTTCTAATGACCGTCTCAACAGACTCTGAACTTGCCTCGCTGAATGAACACACTGTACTGACTGCCGTGTCCCCCCTCATCTCAGTGACAGCTTTTGACCTGTGAGGCAGCGTTCCTTACCTCAACTTAGAGACAGACAGTGCTTCCAGAGGAGGCCTTGCCTGCCCACTTACTCACTGGGTCAGCAGGTGTTTACTAAGCTCCTACTGTGTGCCCACTCCACCCTGCAGGTTCACATAAGAGCCTAGGGGATGGGCAAAGCCAGCTGTCCCCAGCATGGGGTGGCTGCCAAGGCTGCTGAGGTGCTGTTGAGCTGGTTGGGGGTCAGGGTAGATCAGGGGGGTGACCACCAGGGTCATGTCTCCACCTTGACCTCATTAATGTTGGTCTTAATCACCAAGCCAAGCTCCTTAAACTGCTAGAGGCCAACTCTCACCCCCGACACATACCAGTCCTGTGTTCTTTTTCTCAGGGAACCTGCAGGGAAGGGGTTGATTTTCTGAGCAGACAGACCTAGGAATCCCAGGTGTGAAGAGATGAGCAAGAGAGAGCTTAAGGGCTCAGAGGCTCAGAGGAGAACACTTCCCTGGCCAGGTTCCTACCAGGGCTTCAGGGCCTGGGTACCTGTGTGGCAAGTGGCATGGCGTTTTCTCCCGTCATCTGCTTCTTAACTCAACCCTCACCTTGTCAGAGAGGTCTTCATAAGTGGTATAACTTCGGCGTTGAGGGACCTTTCCTCCTGTTCTTTGACTAGCTCTTGTAACTGCCACTCACCACCATCTCTCACAGGGTGTTGGCTTCTTGCAACCAGTGCTTTCTTGTCTCCTGTGGGCCCCCAGAATCAAATCCCTTGCCTGGGACTTAGTGGGTGCTCCAGGCATATGTCATCTGGACAGTAGTCCTAGAACAACTTACACATGGGGGTCTCCAGGGACCTCAGCTATATGGCAGATATGCTGGCCCCATATCCTCAGACACTAGGCTGGTCCAGGACCAGCCTCTCCCTCAGACTGGCATCCCCAGCAGGCCAGTGCCAGCATCTCTCAGCCTACACAGGGTTCTGACACCCTGAAGCCCCAGGTGTCTGATTATCCTCTCTGCCCCTGAGTTCACCCAGTTTTATGTCCATTGCCTTCTATATAAGGCAAAACTTCTTAGGCCCTCACCATGGCCTCTAGGTCCCACGCACTCACCTGAATAACCTGGCAGCCTGCTTCCTCATGGGGGGGGCCCTTGTTCTTCCCCACCCTAGCAGGCCACCCTCATCTCTGTAGCCCGTGGTCATCCCTCCCTGGACTGGAATGTGTTTCTTCCTCTAGCTGAGCCTTGCTCAGGCCAGAAGCGCTCTAAGCAGGGCCATGGCCTCCTCCTTTGTCTCCCAGGTGGCTGGCTCATAAATGTTTAATGAACAAGTGAGTGAGCAAATTCCAATTGAATGCAACAAATAGTTATCGAGCTGCTGAGCCTGGGGTGGGGTGGGTGGTAATGGACTGAGCTGACTGTGCTCAGATCTGTCCAAAGGAGCTCGTGTCAGGGCCAGGGGACTGGGAAGGGCCGGGGTAGGTGAGTTCAGGGAGAGGCATTGTCGGTTGAAGCATTATGGAGAAATGGACTTAGGGTCCTAAGCCCCCAGTTGTAGCCTGAGGCCACTGGACTGACATGGGTAGAAATTTCCTGGGGAGGACTCTGGGGAAGACAAGATGAGACACCCTTCCTTTACTCAAGGGCCTCTACCCGGTGTCACCTTGGCCCCTTTGCAAGCCAATTAGGCCCCAGTGGCAGCAGTGGGATTAGTATTCTTAGTATGATATCTCCCAGATGCTGAATCAGCCTCTGGCTTAGGGAGAGAAGGTCACTTTATAAGGGTCTTGGGGGGGTTGATGCCTGGAGTTGCGCTGTGGGAGCTGTAGGTGGCTGAGCTCGCTAGGCAGCCTCGGTCTCTATTGACGAACAGCCCCTGGGGCAGCCTCGAGGGCCACAGCCATGAACGGCACAGAGGGCCCCAATTTTTATGTGCCCTTCTCCAACGCCACAGGCGTGGTGCGCAGCCCCTTTGAGTACCCGCAGTACTACCTGGCTGAACCATGGCAATTCTCCATGCTGGCAGCTTACATGTTCCTGCTCATCGTGCTGGGCTTCCCCATCAACTTCCTCACGCTCTACGTCACCGTCCAGCACAAGAAGCTGCGCACACCACTCAACTACATCCTGCTCAACTTGGCGGTGGCTGACCTCTTCATGGTCTTTGGAGGATTCACCACCACGCTCTACACCTCACTGCACGGCTACTTCGTCTTTGGGCCCACAGGATGCAACCTCGAGGGCTTCTTCGCCACACTGGGCGGTATGAGCAGAGGGACTGGGGTGTGGCATGAGGGCCAAGGGGGCACGGAAGGGCCTAGGGAGGGACTGCAGCTTGGGAGAAGCAGCTTAATGGGCCTCTCTCCACTCCTCTTTAATCGGTATCACCCAAAGGCTTTGCTTATTCACTGACAACACTGATGCTGAGCTGGGCATCAGTTGTTTAGAGCAAGCGTCTATCTCATGAGTAATACAAGAATCGAGGCTCCAGAGAGGTCAAGGGCTCACTGGGGAGTCACAGTGTGAGAGGGAACCCTCTGAGGCAGCTAAGCTGGGGCAGAGTCAGATGAGCACCAGGATGAGCTAGAAAAGGCACACAGGTCCAGGTGACAATTGGGTCGGTGTACTGGGCATCTGTCTGACTGCCTTCCCAGCCCCGTGGGCCTCCATCATGAGTGCATGCTCCATACACTGGGAATCTAGAGGAGTCATTTGTGGTTTTTTTCTTTTTCTTTATATCCTTGGGGGAAGACAACAGTCTCCCATTGTGCAGACTGGCCATAAACTAAGTGAGGATGCCCTTGAACTCCTGATCCTCCTGCCTCAGCTTCTCAAGTGCTGGGATCACATGGACCACCTCGCCACACTAGGGGTTTCCAAACATTTTTCTCTCATTTGCCTGGAAGATCAAAGAGGCTACTACAGGGACAATGGAGCCTGTTTAGCTGAGGCAGGGAGCAGGCAAAAGACTCATTTAGAGATGTGACAGGGCCGGAACCAGAATCAGGGTCCCCTGGCTGGGACCCAACATTGTTGTCAGTGGATGTTAGAGGACACAGGAAAAGTGGGCATGACAAAGCTCAAGGCCAGAGCAATGGGTCTAGCTTGCACGAGTCTCAAGGATGAAGTCTTATCTCCCCATGTATAGGATGCTGCCTTGGTGGCACTGTTGGGTATCTTCTGTGATCACAGTCCCCCAGTCTTTGGACAGAAGCTAGGATGCCATGCTAGTGAGTTTGTCTCTGTGGGGTCAGGCTTAGGCCACACCTGTCATCCAGAAATTCTTGTCAGTAGCACTCCTATTATTCAGCAATGTCCCAGGGCTGGTTTATTTTGTGGCTCTTCTCCATACTGAGTTTCTGTGGGTGACATGTGGACTGGAGTCTGGAGTCCCGTTGCCCCTCTCTTCTTCCCCTGCCAAAGCACTAGCCAGTGTGTGGCCCAAAGCCACAGTTCCAGCCATTCCAAGGCTGTGTCTCTCCTGAACCGAAAGCTCTAACCAAACAGAGAGGCTCTTGGTTCTTTGGAGTTCCTTTGCTCTCCCCGGCACATGGGTTCTTCATTCTGCCCCCTCTTCCTGGCCAGTCCAAACTTGCTGCATCTATAAGGCTTGGCTCAAGTTTCAAAGCAGAGACTCCCATGCTACCCTGTCCTCTCTGGGGGTGTTTGTTCTTTCTGGTCTGAGGTCAGAGCTGGAGGACTGATAGCTACCAACTGCCTTACAGGTGAAATCGCCCTGTGGTCTCTGGTGGTCCTGGCTATTGAGCGATACGTAGTGGTCTGCAAGCCCATGAGCAATTTCCGCTTTGGGGAGAATCATGCCATTATGGGTGTGGTCTTCACCTGGATTATGGCGTTGGCCTGTGCTGCTCCCCCGCTCGTCGGCTGGTCCAGGTAATGGCACTGAGCATTGGGTCTGGCAAGGCTTTTGCCCAGTTCCCATTCAGAACACAGAGCCTGTGGGCTGGTTCCAAGCATTCTATAACATGGCCTTGCCCCCTAAAAACATCCTGGTGACTTTCCCAAGCCAAGGTCTAAGGCAGGGGAGAAGGGAGGGGCAGTGATGGTACAATGAGTGGATTCCATCGCTGAACCCCATGGCAAGGGGAACCCTGGACACTCCAAGCCTTCACCTTGGCCGAGCTCCTAATCCTCAGCTAAGCCAAGGCCAAACTACAATCCTCTTTGGTTGAGTTCTCCTGGGTATGGGACAGCTCTCTCTGACCTTGGACCTCAGCCCTATGGGGAAGCTGAACTTTCCCAACATGCATGGTGTCATTGTAACTCCAGGAACTGGCTCCCATCCAGCTCCAGGCTACCATCTCCAAATGTAGGCAGGACAAGAGAGGGTAGGGACAGTGGTTTGGTACCCAGAGCATCAGAATCTCCTTTCTTGTCTTACATCCCTTCCCCACCTCCAGGAGTCCATCTAGTGACCCTTGTTGAGTCAGAGCCCATCACACCATGCTGGCCTCTTCCCTTATCTTCATCTTCTGGGCTTGACAGGCCTCTACAGATACACTCAGTGGACACTCTGGGGTTTCTGAGTGCAGCCCAGTCTCACTATCCTCAGACATCATCACAAAATCCTTGTTTCTAAAAGCCGCACCAAGTCCCGGAGATGGCTGCAAGCCCATCCTTAGTGTAGACCGCGTTGCTGTTGCTAGGAGACCCACATCTCCAAACTACTGCATTAACAGGACAGTCCTCAGCCCTCCTCCCCAGCACCTTCTGCCAACTGACTTAAACCACCAAAGGGCAGCAGGCTGGTGGCAAAGAGCTGTGCGGTCAGGTGGTAGGAAGCTTGAGAATTGCCCTAAGGGCAGAGACTGCTGAGTCTCACCTGGCGATGGGGCCAACAGGTAATGACACCAGGCTTCCCAAGGCCCACAGGGACTCCAGACTCCATGGGCCCCACACTATGCCCAGCTGAGCATCTGTTCCCCTTCAGCTGTATTGCCCCTTGCCCCATCCTCAGGTACATCCCCGAGGGCATGCAGTGCTCGTGTGGGGTTGACTACTATACACTCAAGCCCGAGGTCAACAATGAGTCATTCGTCATCTACATGTTCGTGGTCCATTTCACCATCCCTCTGATCGTCATCTTCTTCTGCTATGGGCAGCTGGTTTTCACAGTCAAGGAGGTATGAGTGGGGGCTCTCTAACGTGTGTCCCCAGGCCCATGCTGGGTGTTTAGAGCTAGGTGCCAGGGTATGTATAGACCCCATGGGCTGGACACAGGTCTGTACCCCTGTAGGCGGCTGCCCAGCAACAGGAGTCAGCCACCACACAGAAGGCAGAAAAAGAAGTCACCCGTATGGTCATCCTCATGGTTGTATTCTTCTTGATCTGCTGGGTTCCCTATGCTGGTGTGGCCTTCTACATCTTCACCCACCAAGGCTCCAACTTTGGCCCCATCTTCATGACCCTGCCAGCTTTCTTTGCCAAGAGCTCCTCCATTTACAACCCCGTCATCTACATCATGATGAATAAACAGGTGCCTGGGATGAGGGTGGGGTGGGGGTTGGGGGGGGAGTGAGAGAAAGAAGGGGAAGGGGAGGGGACGGGGCAGGATTGATGAATAAACAGGTGCCTGGGATGAGGGTGGGGTGGGGGTTGGGGGGGGAGTGAGAGAAAGAAGGGGAAGGGGAGATGCCGGGGCAGGATTGAGGTTCCATCCAGACTGCTGGCAGGCCATGAGCTCTCTGGTTGAGCCTCCCAGTCTCTAGGTAGCCTGGGAGTAAGCCCTCCAGGTGACCAGATGACCTGACACCTGCTCCTTGGAAATACATCTGACAAATCGTTCTGGAAGTTTTCTTGATAAGTCAGCTGGAAGTCAGGCACATGTACGATCTAAACCCTGAGGCAGGTAGATCTTGAGCTCCAGGTCAGCCTGGGCTACATGGTGACGTGAACCCCCTCCAAAGCAGGGTGTGGTTGTACACCTCTTTACCCCAGCATTCAGGAGGCTGAAGCAGGCAGGTCAGAAGTTCAAAGCTATCTTAGACCATACAGTAATCTGGCGGCCAACCTGGGCTACAAGAGAGTCTGTCTCAAAACAAAAACAAAACAAAAACAAAAACAAAAAACCAGAAAATGTCAAGTAGTTCCAAGGCCAGGAATGGAATGATCTCACTATTTGTAAAGCTGAAAAAGTTGCTGAAAATGCTAGGTCTGGGAGGAGGGGGAACAAGCTGCTGTTAAAAGCCATGGTCTCTCTGCAGAAAAGGTGTGGTCTCTGGACTTAGACTCCGGGTTCATGTCCTGGCTCTGTTATGTCCAGGCTGTGTGACCTTGAGAGAGTCAGATGTCTCCCTCCCTGGGCTTCGGTTTTCCTATTTACAGGAAGGGCCAAATCCTAAACTCAATTTGCAAGAGATCTTTCACAGAAGGTCCTAAGCATTCACAGGACACCGTGGAATATCATTTGATGAAAACCCTTGTGTTGGGTTCCTGGCATCTCTGACGGTGGGGCAACATACACTTAGCAAGCTCCCCCAGGGAGCCAGACTTAGTGAGGGGACTGGCTGTGGGTGGTGGGGCTGAGGCTGGGCAGGGTGGTGGGGCTTGGTCCTGACTGGAGCCCTCTGCCTTCCAGTTCCGGAACTGCATGCTCACGACCCTCTGCTGTGGCAAGAATATACTGGGTGATGATGAGGCCTCTGCCACTGCTTCCAAGACGGAGACCAGCCAGGTGGCCCCAGCCTAAGCCTGGCCAGAGACTGTGGCTGACTATAGGAGTCTCCTGTCCCCACCCACCCCAGCCACAGACCCCACCAGGAGCAGCACCCGTTGGAATGAGGTCATGCAGACTCCCGCAGTGTTCTTTGCTTTGTTTTTAATTAATCCATGAAAGAAAAATGAGGCTCCCCACTCAACAGGGACAGCCCAAGAAAGGACATCCATCCACCCAGACTCCCGACCTGGAGTCCCCAATTCCCCGGGGCCAGCGGGATCTGTATCCCTTCCCCGCAGCTTGTTTCTCAAGAACATGACAAGTGTCCCAGCTTAGGGTTAAGTGTCTAGGACAGAATGGAGCACACAGTAGCTGATTAATAAAATGCTAGCTGGATGAAGGGAGGAATGATTGGCTGAATGATTGGATATGTGAATGAGGGGATTGATGGAGGGGAACATGTACGTCCTGAGGTGCCCAACCTGGCAGATCCAGTCATATTTGGCTGGAATCTATAAGCAATTGTTTTTACATCCCTGCCCTGGTTGTCTTCCACCACCCCCAGATGGAAATCCCAAATCCCAGGTCCTGACATGTGGCTGCTTCGAAGACAGAGAGATGGGGGAAGGGGAGAGAGAGAGAGAGAGAGAGAGAGAGAGAGAGAGAGAGAGAGAGAGAGAGAATGTTTGTGTATGTATGTGAGTGTGTGCAAATACTTTGTATATAAACAGCACAGCTAGTAGTTGTGTTACAAATAATATCAATTAATAGAATTAATTAACCATCCTTATTGTCTCTGATTGTTAGTGACTGCTTGGGAATTGGCTGGACCCAGGCACTCAGACAGGGTGTTTCCCCCAGCTCCAGTAGACTTTTACCAATGACCCAGGCCTTTAGGCCTGTGCAGGGCTGGAGCAGGATCATAGGGATGACAGTGACAGCAATGTGGGCTATAGCCATTAGGACTGAGAAAGCATTGTGACCAGGGGTCTCAGGCAAGGCCTGGGTCCTGCCTTCAGTGTGGCATCCTTGGTGCATGTCTTCCAATCCTACTTGGCCTGAGACCCAGCCCTCCTTCTTGGCTTCTGGAAACATTTGTTCTTCCACACCAGCAACCAGGTAGCAATGGTTCCAGGCCAGCATGGAGTTCTAGAAGCCATGCTAATCTGCCTACCCTCAGGGAGTGGCTGAGTCCCTGATGTCACCTTTGTTCTGAAGATTTCAGAAACACAATGTGAGACCTGACTGGGCCTCATCCCTAGGATGCTCATGGATCCAGCTCCCAGCTCGCTTGCTGGATATACTGTTTTCCTTGGCATCTGGTCTTTGTTCTTCCCAGAGAATTTTGGGCTTGAAGTCAACAGGAACGCTGGGCCACCAGAACTGAGCAGCTTCAGTCTGCATCCCTCCTCCACAGAACCACAAGTGGACCCCCAGCAGGCCCAGTTCTGGCTGGGGAGGGAGGCAAATGGGGGCATTAAAAGCTCAGCTCCTATACTTGGTAGCAGTGGTGGTCTGTTGCTCTCAAGCTCTTTACTTACAAAATGAATGGAAACTGAGAAGCTTCTGTGACCCCTGTCCAGGGAGGGCCAGACAGTGTGGGGACAGCAGTTTAGGTCCCTGGGGAATGTGATGGAGCAGCCCCATCAATCTGAGAAACCCAGTTTGGGCAGTATAGAGACAGGGTGGCCTCTTTAAGCCTCTGTGTCTGCAAAGAAGAGCTTAGACCTGCCCTTGAGGGGGATTAGATGAGAGCTAAGGGACTTATGTGGCCAGCCCACTTCCTGGCATGCTGAAGACATTGGTACATTCTGCAATTCTAGGCCTTGGCTCAGACCTGCCCTTACCAGGACACCCCCACCTAGCAAGGGAATGAGACAGAGCCTCAGATGTTGAGCAACACCATCCTCAAAGGAGGAAAGGGTGCCAGGGTTTGAGATGGAAGCCCCTCAGTGCTGTGGTGAGCAAGGGCAGGGGTTATCTGCTATGCTGTCAGTGAGGGTTCATTTGGTCACAAGTGACAGGAAATCTAACCCAACTGCTGAAACAGATAACTGGTTTCATTGGCTTACAGATATGAAACCTCCCCCTCCACTTTAGGCCAGCTGGGTGTAGAAGCTCAGACCTGTGACCTTTTATGTCTGTCTTCTGTGTTGACTTTACTCACAGGAGGCCTATCCCCAGAGGTGGCAGAATTGTCTGCAGCAGTCCCAGGGCCATTAATCCCTCCAGAAAGCAGCTTTCCTGCCCCTTATTATAACCATGGTGTCAGACCAGGTTCTTAATGACAGATCTAGGTCACCTGATTATCTCTAACCCAATCAGCATGTCTAAAATAGAGATTCTTCTTGATTGGCCAAGGCCCAGCCACCTGATTACCTCTAAGCCAATCACCATGCCTGAGATGGAGATTCATCTTCTGATTAACAAGACCTGGGTCATCTGATCATCTCTAAGCCAATCACTATGCCTGATTTGGGATCCCACAATTGTCATGTGTTCCTATACCACAAAATAAAGTTGACTTCACATATTTAAGAAATCTATAGGATGTGTTCCCCAAAAGAAACCAGGGGAACAGGATCAGGACCAGCATAGAGGGGTGGGGACTGGGATGTGCTAGACAAAGCTCCTGTATGTGGTGGATCAGGGGTATTCCCATGGCTGCCACAACTCTGGTTGTCTCCCAGGCTTTATGGGCCAGAGTTGGCTGTTGGCGGTATACTTTAGTTGCCTGGTCTTCTCCTACCTCACTCTTCCATGCCCAGTTCATTCCTGCCTTCTCCTGAGGGAAAAATGCCCCTTTAGAACCAGAATACTCTTGTTGTCATGGTGAAGAGCAGCCTCAGCCTCCCCTTGTCACTTGTCACAGTGGGTATAGGGCTAAGGGCTAAGCTGAGCTGGGATCTGGAGTTCCCACAGGGCCACTTGCAAGGCTCTGGGCAAGCAGCATTTGTGTGGAACATACAATCTACTCATTCAATCACAGGTCAGACAGAGCTATCACCCCAGGAAAGAGACACCACCTCAGACAGCCTGGGGTGCCCCAAAGAGGCACAGTGCCAGTTCCAGGGCAAGTCCCTGGACTACCCAGGCCATGACTCTGAGCTGAAAGTGAGATACATCTCACCTGATGAAGGGTTAGAAAGGTATTGTGTCCATCCCTGGTCCCTTTGCCTGTGAGAACATTGAGTGTGAGCCCAGATATTTAGGGAATCTGGAGCACAAGTCAAACACCTATGGATAATTATATAGAAACTTACTGTAAAATAAGTCTTTGGCATATATACAATCTTACAATTGATTGAAGATTAAAATAAATTTGCATACTAATGAGATGGATATGCCTAGTTTTTCACAAGGAATTAGATCTTGGCTGAATATTTAATGATGTAGGACACAGCATCTACAATGTTCTTCAGAGCTGATTGATATTCTGGTTTTATAATCATCGATGCTAAGAATGCCTCTTTGAATAAATAGCATAAATACATAGTATAACATGACAGAAGTATGTCTAGGCCATTTCAGGAATTGTTGGAAATTGTTTCTTTATCTCAATCCAAAAGTTACTGAACAGCATGTGTGTGTGTGAATGTGTGTATGGGTGTGTGTGCGTGCTCTCGGGGGCGCATGCACACACACACACACACGTGCACATGCTCACACATATGCCTGTGTGTACATGTGGAGGTGCTATCACCTGTGTAATTGAATGTGGTGAGCTGGAGTTACAGATGGGGGTCACCCCAGCTTTTACATGCACCCTAGGGCTCCAAACTCAGATCCTCGTCCTTGTACAGCAAGTATGTTACTGATTAACACATCACCCCAGCTCCCAAGTGAATGATTTATGTCTGAAACTCAAGTCAGCAATTCAAACAGAATTTTTTAAGATCAAACACTCTAACACAATGCAACCCAAAATTATACTAATTTGACCCTTACATACTGAAGGATGACAGTGGGAAAATATTAAAAAGTCTTTGTTTTCTGCAATTCGACTATTATGTTCCAACAACACAGGACACTTTGTGTGTACAGCAAAAACAAGCAAACAAAACCCCGTGGTTCATGACATTAAATAGTCTGGAATCTGAGCTACATTCCATGCTGGGAAGGCATGCGCAGTACAGCGTGCACAAGTATGTTCAGAACAGAGGCGTTGTGAAGTCACGAGATGCAACACTGGTGAGCCCTGTCTGGAACACCTCCGATTCATCGATTTTGCATTAGTACAAAAAATGTTATTACATTTTGTTTATTGCACCTGTCAGGGGAGGAGGAACACATGCATGCCACATTGTGAATGTGGATGTCAACTTTTGGAAGTCAGTTTTCTTCTGTCACATGGGTCCCAGGAATGGCACTCAGGTTGTCAGGTTTGCCTGCCAGTGCCCTTGCCAGCTAAGCCAACTCACCTGCCCTTGAGTTATTTTTTGATCATTGTGTGTTCAGAAACTCTAATTGTTCTCAAAGTTCTGTCACCGGCGCATTCAAGGGCAGGAAGTTGTGTGGACTTGAGACCCACAGCTTAAGAACTGGGGATCAGAAGGATCAAGGAGACATGGATGTGATAATTCATACTGCAGTTGTTGGATGCACACGGCTTCCCTGGCAGGGGTGAGGCCAGAGTTCATGTGCAGAGATGAGCTTGGTGGAGGTCCCAGGAAAGGAGTGCTAGGTGTCCTGGCTTCATTTTTCTTTCCTTTTGTTGGTAAGCTCCTCTTAAGTTCTGGCTGGGCCCCTGACAGTGTGTCGTCAGAGATGCAGACTCTGAGTTGTGTGTTGCAGAGAATAGAAACACACACTGCTTTCCAGTTTTCCCTCTTGCTGGCTGGTGACCGGACCTGCAGCAGTCATGTTGAATCATGAAACAGACCCTACGTACAAACAAGTGCAGAGGGTAAAGAGAGGATCTGGCTCCCTTATAATCTGCCTTATTAGTTGGATCCTCGACAGCCAGGGTGATTTAAAGAGCTTCTGAAGGCATGGCTTCAAGAAGGAATGGTTATTTGGGACTTGCCGCACCTATCTTAAGTAGTGCAGAGGGTTTCCCGGTTGCAGCCTAGGGTCTGAGCTTGGAAAGATCCAAGAGCTTCCCCACTCTGAACTTCAGCCTTTTCCTGTGTAAATAAAATGGTGAAGATGCCAGTTTATACAGACATCAGGCATGGCAGTGGCTGCAGTTTCACTCCTACCCAATGCCCTGATTGGCCAAAATTGAGAAATAAATGCTCCAATGTCCAGATGGCACAGGAGCTGGCACCGTACAAAGCAGAAGCACTCTGATCATCTCAGAGTTCAGGCCTTATCTCTGAAACTGGAGCAACCCCAGGGTGGGAGGAGAAGGTTCCAGAAGAATAGCAGCAGCCCAGCCCCGGCCCCACAGAGAAGTCAGGAGGTTGGCAGAGGACACTGCTTCTGCCAACAGTCTCCCTAACTTGCTATCATCTCCCTGTCAAGTGGCAAACCCATCGGAGAATTTTTAGATCTCTGAGTTTTTCCCAAACTTCCTTCCCAACACAAAACGGGCTCCTGGCACAGCCTGGGAGCAGGGTTTCAGCAAAGCTCGTGGGAATGTTTACACCACAGAGTCTCTGCATTTCTCAGCTCTTGGAAATGCCCCACAAATGGATCAAAATTGCAGCCCCCATTTGTGCCAGCTCCGTTTGCCTCTTTGCCTCCCTGTAGCCCTTTCCCTGTCTAGCACTGGGCCAGAGGCAATTTACAGATCTCTGTTCACTCAGTGGAGCCACAAAACCACAGCAGCAAGTCTGGAGGGCCTACTGTGTACCACTGTTGGGCTTGGTGCCAGAGACGGCCTCCCTCCACCTTAGCGCTCAAGAGTCAGTCAGGGGCCCATAAGTTACAGATGTGACTCAGAGCACTGGAGGCTTCAGAGTTGGTGACTGATCTAGGGGTCGGAGGTAGCATTCCTAAGCAAGCCTTACTTACCTGTGCGAGTAAGACTTATTTCAACCTTGTGCTGTGTGACAAACACCCTCAGAATTCACAGCTTAAAACCACAAATCACATACCTTTTTTTCTAGCTCAGGGACTAGCTGGGTGATTCTGCTGATGGGGATCCAGCTTGGACCATGTTTTCTGGGATCCTTCAAGCATCCATGGTCAAGTGAGGGATTGGCTGATAACTGGCTGGTGGCTGGGTGACAAGTGACAGGGTCATGGGTCTCGGCACCCAACAGATTAGCCAGGGCTTGCTCCCATGGCAGTGGGATCAGGTATTCCCACGGTATCTCACCAGCACAAGGCTAGCACTGATGTAGGGTTGAGCTCTACAAAGCTTTATTACGTGCGAGGACAGATAAGGGCAGAGACAGAAACTCTGGACTATCTGTACATGACATAGAAGAAACACAAAGTGTGATGTCTTCCTATTAGCTATAGCCCACTCAAAGGTCACATGGTGGGAATTTTAAAAAGTTTGTTACTAAAAGCTGAACCCAGAGTCTCAGGGATGCTAAGTCCCCACTCAACCACTAAGCCACAAACCAGCCCTAACTGCAGTGTGGCTGAATTATGGAATTCCAGGGAGAGGAGGGCACCAAGAACCTGATAGAAGAACTCAAACTTTTCCCCAAAGGAAGTAGGGAGCCATGGAAGGATCTAGAAATGAAGTGCTATCTGTTTTCACTGCAAAGAACTTTGAGGGCCACAGCCTCTCTCAAACCAGTCCTGTGATGATGGCGAGCTCCCTCTCTGGGTAAATCCCAGAAAATAAAGAGATCACACACAGAGGGAGAAGCATTAAGTCCACTTTAACCCACCCTCTAACCTCCCCTCCCCATGGGGTAATTGCTGACACCACACTGGCATGAGTCCTGGGATGATCTCAGAATGCCTCAGGGATGATCGCCTCGATTTCACAGCTGTGGACCATCCCATTGCCAGCAGGCCTCAATTGACTTAGCCTGTTTCTACCTGAAAAGACTGTAGTTTGCCTTGAATTTCTGCTGATAATGGGACAAAGTTCCTGTTTGTAAGTTCCTCTGTTTCTCCCCAGGGAGGGGTAGGTGCTCCATGGGGCAAGTTCATCTTTGCCCCATGATATGTTGAACTGCATCTAAGATGGCCTCCCCATCAGCCTCTCCCAGTGCCTGTGTAGTTTCCAATTGTCCTTGACAGTCACTGTGAGAAATGCTTGTCTCATATTTCATATGAGAAATATTGACATTCAGCCAGGAGAGAGATAGTGCTTCTTTCAATCTGCTCTGTTTTATTTCTGTTTGGTTTGACTCTTTGAGTCAGGGGTTTGCTAGGGAGTTTGCCTCAAACTCCTGTCTTGTCATATATGCTATAGCATGTTTTACAGCAAGGGAACAAGTTACTCAGGCCTGTGTGATTCACTGAAAAGCTACTTCTCTTTTTCATTCTTCTAAATGACACAGTCCTTCCTAGGAGAGAGGTGAAGTGGCAAGGCTTAGGGAACCCCTTCCCAAGTCACAGCCCTTGCTGGGCAGCTGGCTGGCTCTGTCATCCTGGCCAGTGTTCCAGTATTTGGTAGTGTGATGGAAACAGTGACTTATGCCTGTCCCAATGTGAGTGTCTTTGAATGCCAAGGACACGGAGGCCATATGAGATCCTGCCCCAACCTCTCCCTGCATCTCAAACTGTAATATAATCCAAAACATCAGAACGACACAGAAAGGAGCCAACTGAGAGCCTTCCTGGTCCAGGGGAGGCTACTGCCTCCAAGAGATACCCTTCCCTGGACCCAATTGCTACTTTGTGGAAACAAAACAAAACAAAACAAAAACCCTGAGGCCAGCAGTTGTTTGGGAAGAGGGCAGACAGCCCCACACCCACTTGGTGGGATTAGGGTGCCCTTGTGGGCACTCCCACAACTCAAGTGTCCTCCATGCATCACCAGCACCACCAGCTAGGTGGGATACAGTCAGTGACTCTATGTCTTTATTTTCGCTTGGCCTCAGATCCCCGCAGGGCTGAGGCAGGGTGCTCTGTTAGGAGAGTGAGCCTTCCTCTCCAGGCCAGATTGGCTTCCGCTGCTCAGGTGGTGAGCCTGATGGCCATTGGTTCTCTGGCAGTGAGAGGTATTTAAGGCAAGAGGTTTGGCAGCTGCTACCTGAGTGAGTACCGGCCTGCCGCTGCCTGTGCCATGGCTCCTGGAAGTGTTTCCAGTGTTTCCTCCTCCTCTTCTCCCTCCAGGGACACATCACCCTCTGGAGTCTCTGAGCTCCCTAGGACTGACAAACAAGGTAAGCAGGGGAGTGGAAGTCTGTAGAGTTTAAACCAAGATCCCTGGAAGCCCGGTGACAAGAGCTGGGAAGGCGTAGAAGCTATAGAGTCTAGCTCTCATGGAAGGGGATGGCCCTGGTGGCACAGCTGAATGACCCCGTCTCCTGGTTGGGGACTCTCAATGAAGACACCAGGTGCGGACTGCCAGTGCCCTGCCATAGGAGTCCCTGGTGGCTGACTTTTTCTTTCTACTTGAAAACTTCTCTTTCTTTTGAGTCTGAATTTTGCACACCATTTTGATAGCATCGTTTCTGAACTTAAATCATGCACCTGTGACTGGTAGGTTCCCCTCACGCCTCTCCCCCAATCCTCCTCTCCCTCGCAGCTTTCCAAAAGAAACAACCCATCTCAAAAGATTCCTGTATGGCCTGGTTCCCCCATGTTCAGCATGCAGTGACCTTTGGTCACCATGTGTGTTCATCAATGCCACAACCTGTTTTAGAATTCCGTCATTTTCTAAGAAGAGAAATAGCTGAGCTGTAGCTATTAGCAATCACTCCCCAGCCTCACTCCACCTGTGTCTGTGGGCGCTCATCCCATATACAGCTTCGTGACTGGCTTTTTCATTTGCTTATATTTAGAAGCACTTCCTGTCATAACAGCTTACATATCAGTCCTCTTTATGGCCATGTAGTATTCCAGTGTGTCTACACATCATGCATGGTCACAGGCATTTGGATTGCTTCCCTGTTTGGGCTGTCGGGAATAAACTCATGCACACTGCCAGCGGGCTAGGGACGGAGCCCAGGGCCTCCTGCTGACTCAGCAGAACTACCGCTAGGGCCCTGCCCATTCACCCTCATGCACCAGTCTTTACTTACATTTTCACTTTGGGGGGGGGCACATTCCTAGGAAGGTGATTGTTTTTACCTTTTCTTTTCCCAAAATGTTTCTTTTAAACATTAGAAAATTATTTGTGTGAGCTGGGCATGATGGCACACACTTGGGAGGTAGGCAGGTGGATCGGAGTTCAAAATCAACCTGGTTTACATAGTGAGTTCCAGGCCAGCGAGAGATACATAGTGAATTTCAGACCAAGGAGAGCTGCATGGCGAGATCTTGTCTCAATCCCCTTTCCCAATTACTAGTGTTTAGACATCCGCATATGGAGCGAGGTCAGAGGACGACTTTGTGGACTTTCTCTCCGTCCACTGTGCATTCCAGGGATTGGACTCAGGTCATCAGGCTTGGCAACAAGCTCTCCCTTATCGACTGAGCCAGTTTGTTGGCTCCTTTTATTTTTATTTTTATTATTCCATAAGTGAGGCCATTTTCAAGCAAGTATATATGTAATTTGATTGTGAGCGTATTCCCCTGAATCCTCTTCTGTACACTCTTATTCCCCCCCCCCCATTAATTCCCTTTGTTCCCCAGACAGTTTCACTTTCTACCTTCATTCCCTGTGTGGACACAAGGTTGTATATCTGCAGGGTCTAGGACCCACAGATGATGCTAATATCTGGTTAGACTGAGAACAAAGCAGGCTGGGAGCAACTGAGTCTCCCCCACCCATGTGCTTATCAAGTTCAGCCATCCTCAACTGTGGCTGCTTTTGCTCACCTACCGGGCTATCTCAGACACATGCCAGGCCCAGCATTTCAGCTGGAAATCATCCAGGGTTGATTTCCAAAGGATATGAACTTTTTTAAAAAAAGATTTATTATGTATACAACATTCTGCTTCCATGTATATCAGCACACCAGAAGAGGGCACCAGGTCTCATAACGGATGGTTGTGAGCCACCATGTGGTTGCTGGGAATTGAACTCAGGACCTACGGAAGAGCAGTCGGTGCTCTTAACCTCTGAGCCACCTCTCCAGCCCCAGGATATGAACTTTAAGTGATGTCAGGCCTAGGATGCAGCTCAGTTCTGGAGCACTTGCCTGGCATGGGTGCACAAAACCTTGGGTTGCGTCATGAACACTGTACAATCACATCGTAATCCCACTGGCACACCCAAAATCAGAGCCATCATTAATGCTAATTTTCTCCCAGCATTTATGAATATTTGGTTGCTTTATTCCTTTGTCCAGTTGGCTTTTGTGTTTGTGTATATCTTTTGAGGTACCACCTCGTTCAGTAGCCCTAGGCTGGCCTGGAAACAACAATCTTCTCAGTGTTGGGAGTCCTGGAGTGACAGGTGTGTCCCCACCTTGCCTGGGTTGCCAGGGTAGTGGTTTTGAGTCCTGAGTTTGAACAGGACCCTGTGATGTTTGGCCCAGAGGTTGTTTTCCCAGTCTTTTTGTCCCCAGGGTCCTTGGTGCCTTTTCTTTTGCTGCCTTGTATGTGAGCTAAGCCAACATGGGTCTACTGAGATTCTTGGTTGCTTCTCTGAGCCCATGCAAAGCTGTAGCCACTTATGGGCAGCTCACCTTACCCAGCTTTGTCTCTTTGAAGAGAATGTTTTTCAAAAGGAGAGGAACTTGGTGAGCCTTGTAGGGCCAGTGGTCAGTGTAAAGCTTAAAAGACTGGCTACCAGTGACACTGGCAGCTGGTTCTTAGTGTGTGCTTTGCCTCATCACAAACAGGCCTTGATTGGGGTAGAGGGCAGTGTAGGTGATGCCCTGCTGTCTATCCTACAGGTCTACATCCCAGCAGAGTCCAATTAGGCCAACGGAACCCAACGATGCTCCGAATGGTGCTGGAGGCTCTGCAGGCCAGGGAGAAGCGCCAGGGCACATCAGTTGTAGCCATCAAGGTCTATATCCAACATAAGTACCCAACAGTGGATACCAGCCGCTTCAAGTACCTGTTGAAGCAGGCCCTGGACACTGGCATGCGTCGAGGCCTCCTTACCAGGCCTGCCAACTCCAAGGCCAAAGGAGCCACTGGCAGTTTCAAAGTGAGCTACAGACAAGGAGGGGAGGCCTTGGTGCAAGATTTAGATATCAGACCCTTAGCACATGCTGCTTCTCCCCACAGCTCACGCCTCCACAGCTCTTCTGCTGGTCCTCACTGTGTAGTCTGGGAAGCCTGCACAGTATCGGGGTCTGAGTATGGCTTACCCGTGTCTGCCACATAGCCACTGATCCATAGCTTCTAGAGGGGACTATGGGACAGTCTCTACAAACCACATGTGGTGCCTGTGGTTACTGGGATGCCCACCTCAGGAAGTCCCACCACTGAGGCCCAGGGAAACTCTGCTGGGGCCTGGTTGGAGTGTGGAAGGCAGGTGGTTCAACAGAGCTTCAGTCACAAAGGCCTGCAGGAAGCTGGGAACTGGGCCATATCCCCTCTCAGTCTGTATTCTTGGAGACATCAAGGAGATACGGTGCTTCAGAGAGCCAGGGCAGAGAGGGTGAGGGACAGTGAGGCTCGGGGTCAAGGTTGTAAGTAGAGGGCAGACTCAGACCCTTGGAAGTGAACGGTGGGGCACACCAGGGAAATGACAGATTAACACCAGGTGGAATGTCTGAGGACCACAAAGGTGCGTGTATTTCCCCTCTCATCCCACCACTTTCTTAGCCATGTTGTTGGGAACATGGCCATTTTGCTGTCATATGTGGGGTACAGGGATACCCAGAACTTCTGTTCTTACCCCCACCTCACTCTGTCTTTAGCTAGTTCCCAGGCCTAAGAAAAAGAGAACCTGTACCTCGATAGCCCGAAGGAGAGCCACAGATGCCAAGGAGACAGGCCCCAAGAAACCTAGGGAGCCGAAGACAGACCACACCAGCAAGGCCAAGGTGGAGAAGGTGGCTGTAAAACCAAGGCCGAGGAGGAAGGCTTGTCCCTGCCCAGCAGCCACCTTGGAGAAGGCACCTAAGAAAGCCAGCAAGGCAAAACTGGGAGAGGTCACAAAGGACCCCCTAAAACCAGACAAAGCCACACTGCCCCCACCTACTGCCAACAAGATAGGCCAGAATGTCAAACACAGTGGGAACAGGCATGGTAGGTGTGTGAATGGCTGGCAGGGACAGGAGTTGGCAGTGGCCACTGGGGAGGTTGGGAGGAGCTTCCCTCTCTAGGAAGCAAGCCTTGAGTTAGACCTTGATAAAGGGGGTGGTGGTGGTGGTGGATGGGATCCAGAGAGGCCAGGGCTCAGCACAGCCCCGAGGCAGGGTTAGGGAAGTCTTCCTGGAGGAGGCACCCCAGAGGCATCTGTTCTCAAAAGGAAGGTAGGGCTTTGGTAGAGCTGCAGGTGGTTGTCTGCTGTGCAGTCAGAAGTCCAAAGAGGTTTTGAGTAGCAGAGGGGAGTTAGGCTCACCTGAGGGCAGCGAGCAGCCTTGGGGGGGCTCTGGTAGAAGCAGTGGAGAGAGTTCTAAAGACAACCAAGGAAGCTGGCCCACACGCTTATCCTAGCACTTGGGCTGTAGAGGCAGGAGGATCGGAAGTTCAAGACTACATCTTTAGGTTTATATCAAGTTTGAAATCAGCCTGGGATGCATGAGACTTTGTCTCAACCAAACCTACTCTTCTGCAAAAGATAAATAAACATAGAAGTACCGCCATCAGCAGGTAGGCAACAAAGCTGATTGTACGGGTCTGTCTGCTCCCTGCATGGGAGAGGCAGCCTGATTTCAATGATCCTATGTTGTGTAAGGACAGCATCTTGTCCAAATTGGGACCTGAGACTTGGGTAAAAGAGCTGGCCTAGGTCACATGGCCTTCAGTTGTCCAGGTGATGACCTGGGACCTAGGCAGGCTGGGACCTCTAGACCCTCTAGACCCTCTGCCTTTCACTACTCCCTCTTCCAGAGTCAGAGGCTCATGGGAAAACCAAAGATGTGTGGGAGAAATCAGAGCCCTCGGTCTGCAAGGTAGGTGCCTGTTGCCTCCTGGGTCCCAAGTCCTGCCAGGCTTTGTTTGTGGATTCTGGGAGGTGAGCTCAGGCCTTTGTGCTCTTGAAGTGAGCCATCTCCCCGCCACTGGGCTTGCTTTCTTACAGGTCCCGAAGAGTGCTGCTTCCCTCACCAAAAGGAAGATGACAGCCATGGCCCACACTAAGACAGTTGTTCAGGGGGCTAGGATGGTACATAAGACCAAAGCACCTGTCCCTCCCCAGGACATGGGACACAAAGCACAACCCACATCCAGGGTCAGGAAAACAAAGAGCCCTGAGGACCCCAAAAGGCCTGGGTTACCCCCCAAGATCTCATCCAAGGCTCCCAGCAAGAAGGCTGAGCCTGGTAACTAGGGCCAGGCTTGAGATGGCAACTCGAAGATTTTATCCCCTATCATAGTATTTATTTATCAATAAAACTTCTTTCTGTTCATACATTGATATATTGGACACTGGACTGTAAGTCGGGAAGGCCTAGAGGGGCAGAGGAGCCAGGGAGTGTGCAACTGTTGTCTTTAGAAAGAGCATCCTGGCTGCAGAATGGGGGATGGAGGACTTGAAGGGCTGGAGACCACTGAAAACTTCTTCCTGAGCTTGACTGTGGACAAGCCTCCACCCAGAGGGGCAGACTCTGGCTTGGAGGACCAGCACTGTTGTCTCCAAAGGAGCACAGTTCTGGCTGCAACTGTAGCTTATTTAGTGTGTGTAGATGTCTGTGTGTGTGTGTGTGTGTGTGTGTGTGTGTAGGTCAGATGACAATTTGAGAGGAGTCCTGCCTTGAGTTCTTGCCATGACTTCCTTCAATGATGGATTATTTCAGCCTTCCACTTTGTGGGTTCCAGTGATGAAATTCGGGTTATCGAGCTTGGCAGCAAGCAAATTTGCGTGATGAGCCATCTCACCAGCCTTTGGTGCAGTTTTAGATAGGGGAGGGAGTTGCTAAGCAGGGCTGAAAGGCTGGGTGGGAGCGTACTCAGCTAGAGATAGGGAGGGTGCAAAGGCTCCGTATTGGTTACTTTCCATGTTGCTATGACAAAATACTTGACAGAAGAGACTTAAAGGAGGGTTTATTTTAGCTCGTGGCTTGAAGGGACATAGTCCACTGTGACAGAAAAGGCACAGCAGCAGGAGTGTGTGAAGCAGTGGCTTACATTACAGTCAGGGAACAGAGAGAGATGAATGAGGACCGGTGCAGGGCTCAGTTTGCTTGCTTTTACTCAGTGTGGGACTCCACCTCTCAGGAAAATTCAGGGTGGGTCTCTCTTCTCACTTAAGCATCTCTAATAGGAAAAGCCCTCAAAGACACAGCTGGTGGGGTGTCTCCTAGGTAATTACAAATCTAGTCAAGTTGATGATCAGCATCAACCCTCGCAGGTCCTGGGGCAGGGGTATGCTTGGCACGCCCTATGTGGCCACAGCCCAAGGTGGTGAGGACAAGTTATGGGGACACATCTGCACTGCTTTGAGACACTTCCCGTGGATAGGGGGAGTCAGCTTCCTCTTCCCTCAGTCTGAGCTCTGCAATGGCAATGACAGGACAAATCTGAGGCTCCAGCTTCAGAGGATGCAGGATGGTTTAGTGGGTCCTAACCATGAGGACTAGAGTTTAAATCCCCCCTCAGAAAAATCTGGGTGTGGCGATGCATGTCTATAACCCCAGTGCCAGGCAGGGGAGACAGAGGATCCCAGGGGCTCACTACCAAGCAGCCTAGGGTAAAATGGCAAGCTCCAGGTTGAGTGAAAGACTCAATATTTTTAAAAAAACAAAACCGGGTCAAGGGCCGGAGAGGTAGCTCAGTGAGTAAGTCTGAGAACAGAGTTTGAACCCCCAGAACCCACATAAATGCCAGGTGGTTATTGTGCCCACTCCTGTAATTTCAGCCTTAGCAGGGGAGGGGGAGAGTGTGCTGTCTTGTAGGGTTCTATTTTTTGGTTTTGGTCACGTTGACACAATCTAGTCGCCTGAGAGGAACCTCAGTTGAGAGAATGTCCCCACCAGATTAGCCTGTGGGGGATTTTCTTGATTAATGATTGGTGTGGGAGGGCTTGGTTTACTGAGGGCAGGTGGTCCCGGGTTCTATAAGAAAGCAGACTGAGCAAGCTACTGGGAGCAAGCTAGTGAGCAGCACTCCTCCATGGCCTCTACTTCAGTTTCTGCTTCCAGGTTCCTGCCATGACTTCCTTCAATGATGGATTATAAGGCTATAAGCTGAAATACACCCTTTCCTCCCCAAGTTGCTTTTGGTCATGGTGTTCCATCACAGCAAAGGAAACCCTCACTTAAATGGGACCCACCGAGCAGGGCTAGCAAGACTAGTCGCATTGGTGAGCTCTGGGTTTGACTAAGTCTGCCTCAGGGAATAAGGAGAAAGCTACTGATTCCTGATATAAACCTTGCCCCCCCCCACTCCCCCACATGCTTACTCATACACACACGAACCTACACACAATCATGCAGACATACACAAAAAAACGGTGGGTGGGGAGAAGTGATTGAGGAAACGCCCCCATGTCAACCTGTGGACTCTACACATGCACACATAGATAGCCCTCATGCTGTAGGGAAGCCTACACCATGCATGGAGAGCCAAGGCACCTAATTCAGCCCTGAGCTTCAGGTCACTGCTGCCATGGGAGTGCACCACCTTCGAGTTCTCCCTGCTGACACCTGGTAGAAAGGGATAATGTCCCCATGGCAAATGCCTAAGTAAAGTGCTTGCTGCTGCTCTTGGCATCTGAACATTGGAATGATGATGTGGCAGGACTCAGCCAGCGTCACAGTATGGGGCTGCTGGCAGGCAGGTAGTCCGTCCCCACCACGAAGGGTATCACAGAGAATGGGCTCTGTGGGTTTACTGTCAGTTGCAAAGGAAGGTCAGAAGATGGGGGAGTAGGGAGTGGCCCTAGGGGCATGGCGGGCGCATGGAGCCAGCCAGAGCACCCCTGTGGTAGCACAGATGAGGAAAGAGGTGGCCTTTAATATGGTGGGTGAGGCCTGGTGGTAGCCGGATGGAGAAAGGAGTCAAAGATGTGTTCTCTAGGTCTGTTTGGTGAGTTGCTGAGGTGGGGACTGTGCAAAGGTCAAAAGGGTATCCAAGGGGTGTTTCAGAAGCACTGTCAGTTGTGTGGATACCTGGGGGCGGGGGCAGACAACACCAGGGAGACAATGCCTAGTATGGGGCTCAGGTTCTCTGTGGTCCATGGCTTCTCCCCTGGATCCTACAGAAAGCTGTGTCTAGTTCTGTCGGTTCCCTGGGGTATCTGTAATGTGCCTGTCAGCAGGCCCCGAGGGGCATCTGGCAGATGGCAGGCTGGCACTTCCCAAGCAGAGGCTCGGCTTTTGCCTCTGCTCCTGTATGGTGAGATCGGAAGCTGGAGAGGGATAGCCTGTAGCCTCTTGCCTCCAGGAGCTAGGGTCCCATCAGCCCTGCCCTGTGACAAGGTGAGAATAGACCCTGCACTGTCTCAGAGATGTGGGAAACCACCCTCCTCTGTGGTGGTTCCCCCTACTTTGCTTTTTTTGATTGTTGGTTTTTTTTTTTTTGGGGGGGGGCGTGTTTTGAGACAGGGTTTCTCTGTGGCTTTGGAGGCTGTCCTGGAACTAGCTCTTGTAGACCAGGCTGGTCTGGAACTCACAGAGATCCGCATGCCTTCGCCTCCTGAGTGCTGGGATTAAAGGCGTGTGCCACCAACGCCTGGCTCCCCCTACTTTGCAATCTTAGCTTGAGGATGCCCCAGGTCTTTGCCTGGGTGCCCACAACCGCCAGCCATGTCTTTGGGGCCCCAGGCAAAGACTGTAGACAGTTCATGGAGGTTGCCCACCTGGCAATGCTAGTGACCCCGGAAACCAGATCTGTGCATAGACACTCCCTTCTGAATGTCAGCGAGGAGCTGTGTGTTAATGAGATGTGTAGCCAGACTGTGGAATATTTAATGACTTAGAAAGATGTCCCTGACATATTGTTGCACAAGGGGAAGAGTCAAGCTTCAGAGTAGAGTGTGGACTGATCGTCAACACTCCTGGCCCCACTCAGGCACTGGTGCTGGCCTTATGTGGCCGGCGCCTCATGTGACAGTGTTCCCCGAAATCATGCTGAATCTTTTATCATTAGGTTTTTTTTTTATTATTTTTTGCAGTTGTATTTTTCTGGGAATTGTGAATCCATTCTGGAGTCACACCTCATCAAAGGGGGCGGGGGGGGGGGGGGAGAATCCAAACCCATCAAATCTGCCAATAATTGAAATTAGCAAATCTGTTCCTTAATAAGCACTCCCAGGATCCAAAAGATAAAGATGGTTCCTCCACCCGCAGCCGGCACAGGAGAAAGTTATTTTTGGAGTGAAAGGTTGTTCACTTTTTTGGGGCTGGTGAATTCTAGGTTGGGTACTGGATTGTTGTTGGGAACTCCTGGCAAGCACAGTGGGGACTTTTCCTTCTTGAGGGGACACTTGTGCTGTTACTCAGGCTGGCTCTGCCACGCCTTGCTTCTGGGGGGAACCTCACTGACTCAACCCTGAGGAACTGGGTCCTCAGGCTGGTCAGTGTGTGTCACCTCAGGTCAGCTGGGCCGGTACAGGCCACAGTGGCCTCAGGAACAGTTTACTTGCCTGAAACAAGGGGTGTATGGTTGAAGACCAGAGATTTGGGGTGTGCGTGTGGTCAGTTTGGAACCCCCTCACATTTGAAGATTTGCCTGGAGGGAGGGAGCTTGGGCAAGGAGAAAAAGTGACCCAGATGTCTAGTTCCCAGTTTGGCCCTCTTGGCTGTGTGACCTCTTGAAACTCTCCCACCCCTTTGATGCTGTTTCTATGTCAGCCAAATGAGGACAAAATGTCTGCTTCTCTTAGGTTCAAATGAAGACAAGGTGGGGGCTGGGTATGGCTCCATGGAGAATACATGCTTAAGGCAACATAGGGCCCTGGACTCCGTGCCCAGCATAGCACAATGTGAAGCAGTAGTATATGAGGTGGTGACATCTTCCTGGGTGGCAGGGCTGTCCATGGGGATAGAGGGTGCAGCCTCAAACTCCAGCAGGCAGAGGGCAGGGTTCTGCCCTTAGGCCATGTCTAAGGCAGGATGTGAGGCCAAGCTCTGCACTTCCTCTCTGCCATAAATGGGACGAAGAAACAGCCCCATTGCCCCCCTCGGCCATCTTAGGACAAAGGCTGAAGCCCATAAGAGGTTTTCCCCGGCAGGCTTTTATTATAAAGAATGTTCCAGAGAGTCCCAGCCTCCCGTTCCAGCCCAGCCTCCTCAGGCTCTGAGCCAGTCCCAGCAGCTATGGAGGGTGGCCTGTGCTAGGGACAGATGAGTACTTTCTGTCTCCTGGAACAGTCATTTCCAGTGTCACAGC